CCATTTTCATATCAATATTTCATGTAATCTTTCTTGGGTTATTTCCTTTGTCTTAACTTACGTCTCCTACTGGCTCCTTATTTATCAATAACATCTCGGGCAGGAACCCTTACTTCCTATCCTTGACGTCGTGTTTGCATAATGTTCTAGAATCGTAGCATATCTGTAGGCTTTGAATAGGTGCAATTTCATCCATTTCTCATTTTCATCGCATTCCTTCTTTACCACTCCATAATTACTAGAACCACTTAATTCTGACTTAATATCACGTCACTCCATATTCCCCCCTTTAGGGGAGTACTAAGAGTTGGAGCTACGACAATCTACCTATAGATGTTTTACCTCTTCATTTTTGGCGTCTTTTCACATCATCGATGACCCTTACTCATCTTGCGGTAATCCTTCTGTACTAAGAATAACGAAATTCCTTATTCGCGAGGGTGACAATTACTATAACTGGAACATACAGTCTCTTAAGCTTAACATTGCTCACATTGCTTGCTTTAGGGAAGCGTCTTCCTGAATGACCATTCTCTGAATTTCTCATGAATCTTCTTCTGTTGTCCATTCTGTTATCGCTGGAACGAAATCTGAAATTCTCATGATGTCGACCACTATCAAATCACTCAGCCCCTAATTTATGTTAAGTTTATCTTGTTCACCATCCCATATTGATTTATATTATTCTAAGGTCTAACTTTTCCTTCTGCTAGTCGCGTTGGAGTCACGAACTTATTTTCCGAAATGAGGATATGACTTTATGGCCTTATACTCTTTTGTTGTCTCAAGGCCTGTCACTTCTCGTCTTTTCCTTCCCTTGACCATAGACTCTGTAATATTGTCATTTTTGATCTACCGTTGTCATCCATGTATCACGTCTTACTCATAATGCTCCATTAACTCTCTTCTTATTTCTTGCTAATATTTCTGTCAGTCACTTTATTCCGAAATTTCGACAAGACATTCTTTTGCTTTTAGCTCCCCTTGCTCCATCCACGGGCTCTTCGGGTTGCCTAATATTCTCCCCTACTAGGGACGGGAGCCATACTAAGGTAATATTTATCCCTTCTAGGCTTCCAGTGCCTATGTTTGTAGTACTCATATCCAGGTATACTATTTTAGAGTGCACCATCTGGGTGGCTCACAAGGGATTTATTAGCATATTTGCAATATCCTTCGAAAATGTCAACTAACGCAAACAATCCACCCATCATTTTGGGTCACTCTAACCCCAGCCAGATCCTAATATCTGTCCTTTTCTTAGACTACTTCTGTTAGCCCCCATGGGGTATAAATAAGATGGGTGTGGCCAATTGTATATACCTCTGTTACTGTTGAAGGTAACTCAAAAGGCTTATATTCCTCTGCTTTAGTTGTAGATACTGATAATCTTCATTAACTGGGTGCCTCGTACCTTTCTTCATCTTGCTTCTTTTACTTGTTGAAACTTGTATCTATCTTCTGAATCTCTTATTGCCTTTCACCATAGGGGTGGATAGATATTCTTGCCTTAAGGCTCCTTATCAAGAGCTTTACACGTCTTAGTACACACATGATCTACTGAAGACCATACATTTACTCATCATAAGCATCATGAAAAATTGAGTTCCTCTGAATCAATTCTTCCATAACCACATTCAGTCTCTTACCAACTGTAGGTATTGTCTTGTTACGAATGAAATAGAAGTTACGAGTTTGAATTCTTATAACTGAGCTCTACTACACGATCTAGAGTAAGAAGAAGAGTGATAATCCTAAATACCTTGTAGCCTCCTGCTTATAGATGTGGTGCACTACACACCCATAAACAAGACTCTACTAGACACGACTTGTAGACTCCCTAGGACAGAACTGCTTTGATACCACTTTTGTCACGAACCAAACCGATGGGCCGCGACAGGCACCCGGTACCTTACTCAACCAAGTACCAACGTAACGTATTTTTCGTATCATTCTATCATAGGTAAATGAACCGAAGTAAAGCATGAGGGAATACAAACTTATACATATGACATACTGGCCTATAAGACCAAAATAATCACTCGTACACTGAACATAGGCCAACAAGGCCGTACAATCTTTCACGTACACGACATATGTCTACAAGCCTCTAAGAGTACATAAATGTCATAAAGGTCGGGATAGGGCCCCGCCTTACTAATCAATACATGTCCTACTCATACTGACCACATAAGCAACTCCAGAACAAAAAGCGCACTAACACCTTCCGCTGAGCTGATAGCCTACTTGAAGGGCTCTCAACCTGTCTATCGGGACCTGCGGGCATGAAACACAACATCCCCAGGCAAAAGGAACATCAGTACAAATAATGTACCGAGTATGTAAGGAATGAAAATCAATAAATAATAGACATGAGAGAAGCTTGGAGAAAAAAGAATCAACATGTATGTCTAAATAGCTCTGTGAATCATTTAATATTATAATGTCATGCATATGCGTATAAATATCATACCATGCATGGGTATATGCGTTCATAACATCATCAAGCCTCTGAGGGCATCCCATCATATCATCGCGGCCACTGTGAGCAAATCATCAATGTATACCAGCTGATCAGGTGGTGGTGCATATATAACGCCGTAACCTTTTCCCATATCCCATATCCCATATATATATATATATATATATAACGTCATCTGGTCATGAGTCAATGTACATGTATAAATGAATGCAATGCATGAGAAGTTCGTCAATAAAATCTTTCGAAATGTCATAAGACCATTATGCCTTTGATTAATATCATGAAGTAGACTTATCAACTTACGTATTTTCTGAGACCCATGAACAAATGATAGAATAATAGGACATATGGGGAATCAAAAACATAGGCATCTCTAGCATTTCTATGAATATAGTCATTTATGAAAATTGTGTATTTGCTCGTTTCGTTTGTATCGTATGGATCATGCCAAAAAGGAGAGAAGGGATAGCCTTAACATATCTTGGCCGATTCTCTTGACAATCCCTCTAACATACGTCTTTTGCGAAGAACGCATAACGGCGAATCAAAATAGGGAAAAATCCGTATGATATTCTTTGAGAAAGATTGTACCGTGCTACTCTTAGAATCGCAAATTCTCACATTGCTAAGTAGTGTTGTATGAATTTTTGTAGCAAATTCCATATGATCTCTTTGTGAATTTAATCATAACCTTTTATGATATTTGCTGAAGCCATCACGTTGAGATTATGGCTTTTGTGAATTTCATCCATAAGCTTAGCAAGCTTATACATCTTCCTTAATTGTTTTTATCAAAGTGGGTGATGACTTGACCACCAATCTCATTAACTGTGCCACCTAGCTACATAGTGTAAGAGTCACTCATTTGAGTTTTAATTGCATCTAATTTGCTTCCACGTTTTAGGACACCTTAAGTTTTATCCATAATCTTAATTACTTAGTTAATCTTCCACTAAAAATTCATAATTACCCAATTATTCGTATAATTAGGAGTTATCTTAAATTACTTAAAATACAACCTCACTTTTAACACACTTTATATGTCTTACTATCAGGTCATATGGTACCCTGTATGGCACTAGTTCATAAATACCTAGTATTATAGCTCGGACCGTATTTTATTCCAAAATGTCAAACTTCGACGAAATTCATTTTCTTCGATTTGCTTACCCTCGCACATTCACAAATTTACTCATCACTTGTTTGAAGTAGCATAATGCTTATAATCTCCAAATAATCTCATTCCCGAACTTATGTCGATTAACTTACGACGAAACTTTAACGTACAAAAATGCGGGATGTAACATCTCATTTCCGAGCTTATATCAATTTACTTATAGCGTACTTCCACGTACGAGAACATGGGGCGTAACAAGGAGACTCTTAGCCCGTTTTGACATAAGTATTTTTTCATTTTTTTTCGAAAAATTTTCACTTTTTTTCTAAATCAATGTTTAGCCATGAACTTTCCAATTTTCACTTGAAGATGAATTTTGGAATTTTTCAAAAATTTAAAAAACTCCAAAAAGTTGTTTTTCAAAATTTTCACTCAGATCACTCAAAAAATTCAAAAAACAACCCAAAATAATATTTATGTCCGAACACAAGTCTAATTTTCAAATACCATTTTCACTTGAAAAAATTTCACTTTTTTTTGGAATTTTACAATTCTTATGTCCAAATGCCCACTTAATCACACAAAATGGCTACAAAATTTCATTTTCGGAGTTTAGATTACAAAAGCAGGTATAAAAGATATTTATATAATTAGTGGACTTAAACTAGCTGCAGGTAAGTATCTACAATAATCATGAATTGATACTCTAAAACAGTTGGCTGGCCAGCCACCTGTTGAAACTGTTCAAATTATACTGATCATAAAGATATTTTTCATGATCGGTGATCACTATATAGAACTTAAATTCTTTCTCATTATAAATTTATGGTCCCTCAGTATTGCAAATCAATCATTCAATTCTGAATATAAAGTCATAGTTGGAAGAAAATGGAAGCTATTTTGAATGTATTTCCCAGTTCCCACCAGCTCAGGGCAGAAGTCAATCCCAAATTCCTTTCAGCCAGTCATGTTAACTTAAATAGAACTACCTTTTTAACTACTCATGCTGCCTCATTAAATAATCAGGTAGCTATCCTAATTATTGAATATCCCCAATGACTGTCACCAAATAAGTCTAAATATCTTTAATCAGCCACAGAAGTCCACATAATGTATCAATGTCAATGAGAACTGGCACTTCGTCTATAGAGGTACAATTCTAAAGGCCCCAGTTCAGTGAATGAGGGTCGGTAAATGAAGACCAAATCCAGTGGAATTGTACAAGTAGGGTCTGGGGAGGGTAGTGGGTACGCAGACCTTACCCTTCCTCTAGGAAGGTAGAGAGGTTGTTTCCGATAGACTCTCGGCTCAAAAAGGATGAAAAGATACAATAGAAACAAGCACTATCAACAACAAAAGCCAGAAAGATAATAAAAACAATCTAAGAGCCAGAAAACTAGATGGAAGGAAGCAGAACAAACTTAACATTAAATAAGAATAATTTACTTAGTATTAGAATTTAGTCAAAAAGCCAGAACTTTCAATACCCTACCTGGTATTTTTTGATCGAATAGAATCATAAAGGAGTACAGAATCCAAAGAGTACAAGATGCTTAATTCTAGATAAGACTACTTAGTTTTCATTATGCAGTTTCTTCCTTTCCAATTGTTGACAGGACACATTACTGCTCTATTACTTGATCTAACTAGACTGACTTCGGAAAAAAGTAAGGGGGAAGTTTACCGTTCTTGTTTACCATCCCTGGCACATTATAAGGAACTGATTCCTGGAGCATTTTCACCACTCTACGCATTGAGGGGCGATTAGCTGGAATGTGGTTAAGACAACATAGACCAATATCAAGAACCTTGCATATATGGTCTTTGAAGCTGGAATTCAAATTTGGGTCGAGCAACTGATCAACTCCTTTCTCGTTCAAGGTGGTGCGTACCCAAGTAGCTAGATCTTTCTCCCCAAACTCTGGACCAACTGGTCTTCTACCTGTCACCAGCTCCAAAATGACCACTCCAAAGCTATAAATGTCGCTCTTTTCATTCACATGAAGAGTATATGCATACTCTGCAGTCAATGAAATTTTACTAGTTAGTATATAAGTTATGGTCACTTTAAATGAAACTGCAACCTTTCCAAAAACTAAGTTACAACTGTTAAAAAGTATACATAAAAATGATTAAAGCCAGTGATATAGTTTGGACAAAGCAATACCTGGTGCAATGTAACCACAGGAACCAGCAATCACAGACATGGATTCGGCACCACCTTTGCTGGCTGCTTTAACAATTTTTGCCACACCAAAATCTGATATTTTGGCTCCAAACTCACCATCCAGTAATATGTTGTTTGACTTAACATCTCGGTGAACAATTGGAGGAACACAATCATGGTGCAAATAAGAGAGCCCCTCAGCTGCATCCAAAGCTATCTTGAACCTCAACAGCCAATCCAACAATTTGGACTTGCAACTGTGCAGCAAATCACCCAAACTTCCATTCGGCATGTACTCATATACCAAGAGCTTGCTAACCCCAGTATCACAACAGCACCACAATCTCACAATATTCTTGTGCCTAATTTTACCCAGAGTTTCAACTTCCATTTCAAACTCGTCTTTATTAGACTCAAGAGCACCAAAACTGGTTTCATCTTTAACTGATCTCTCCCATAGCTTCTTAACTGCTACTGCCTCACCATTGCTTAGGACAGCTTTGTAAACTCTTCCTGAAGCTCCATTTCCTATTACATTAGCTTCATCTAGGCCATAAGGTATTTCGAGTTCACTGAATCCGAGCTTATGGAATGATGTCCACTTTGATATAGTGATTCCTTTCTTAATTTTCTTGAACTTCTGGTACTTCCAAATGAACATAACAATCCCAACAAGAAAAACAAAGCCAGCAACTGTGTAGATAGCTCTCAATGCCCACAGGTATCGTTCACGCTTTCCTCCACCTTTTGCAGTACAAAGACCAGCAACACCTTGACACAAACTTGGGTTTCCTGAAAAGCTATGTCTATAAACACCTTTATCAAAAAATGCAGGAACAGTCCCGGACAGCCGATTATTTGACAAATTTAGCTTATTAAGCTTCAGGCTTTGCAGGCTGAGTGGAATTGCACCCGAGAAGTAATTCCCAGAAAGGTCAAGATAATTAAGCACTGGCAAAGTCCCAATTTCATCTGGAATTTTCCCCGAAAACCCATTGTTAGCCAAGTTAAGCTCACTTAGTTGCTTCATTGTGTGAATTCCCAAGGGGATTTCCCCTGATAACTCATTGAAACTAAGATCGAGAGTTCCTAACTGACCTAGATGCACTAGTGTGCCTGGAATTTCTCCCGTTAGCTCATTATGACTCGCGGAAAACTCAACTAAATTCTTCAATTTTCCTATTTCACTAGGTATAACCCCTGAGATTCTGTTTCTTGAAATTTGTAAGTTAGACAAGTTTTTGGCACCAGAAATCATGTGTGATATATTCCCTGAAAATGCATTGCCAAAAAGGTCTAAAAGATAAACCTGAGGCAAACTCCAAAACTCAGTAGGGACTTCCCCATATAGCTGATTACCCCGAAACCTGACACGTCTCAAACTCCGGCAGTTGCCAAGACTAGCTGGAATATTCCCGGAGAACGAATTGTATATTACTATAAGATCCTCTAAAGCTCCCATTTCACACAAAGTTTCAGGGAATTTACCCGAAAATCTGTTGTACGAAACATCAAGATACTGTAAAGCTGAGTTCTTTCCTAGTTCACTAGGCAATGACCCTGAAAATCTGTTAGAGAATAACTTGAGCTCATATAAATTAGGAGACTTAGCTATACTTTCTGGAAATAAACCATCAAATTGATTCTCAAATAAATTGAGTGACTCAAGTGACAATTCACACAACTCATCAGGAATAGTCCCATTTAACTTGTTAGTTGACACATCGAATCTTCTCAATCTCGTCAAGTTAGACCATCCACTAGGCAAAAATCCAGTAAGGGAATTATTGTACAGCTCAATTTGGACAATACTATTAAGCTGGAAAATTGTACTTGGTATCGATCCAACGAGTCTATTATTGGACACATCAAAATTAGTCAATTGACTCAATTTCTCAATACTAAGTGGAATTGAACCAACAAGATTACACATACTTAGCCATAATGTCTCAAGATTCGTCAAGTTACCAAGTTCAGGAGGAAACTGGCTCGGTGCAAATGGGTTGTAAGCGAGTTCAATTGTCCTGAGACTCGTTACATTACCTAAAATAGCAGGAACTTTACCGGTAAGAACATTTTCAGTCAGTATAAGAGTCTCCAGTCGCTGGAATTTTCCGAAACTTGCCGGAATATCTCCCGTAAAATAGCACCCGCTAAGATCAAGGTATCTGCAATAAAAGATCACAAGTTATATTTAATGCTCAACATTCATTTTGTTTCATCTGCATTTATTCACATACTCAATAATTTGGAGTATCTCTAACACCAGAAAGAAATGTTTACATTAGTTTTTACTGAAATACATATCTCAAAATAGATTATAGCTAGTTGATGATCATTGCTTACAGTTTCATATGTGTATATAAATTTAAAAATATATACATAGTAATAAGTTCATCCTCTGATCCTCATTTTAAATACATTGACTGTAGTCACCTCTAAATAGACTAAATGCACATATATGACTAAGTAGGCATTTGGACATAAAAATTGTAATTTTTTTAAAAAAAGTAGTATTTGGAGTTAAGTTGAAAAATGGTATTTGGAATTTGAAATTATGTTTGGATATGCATTTCACTTGAAAAAATGTTAGAGTATTGTTAGTGGAGATAAAAAATTTACGAAAATGTTGAATTCTGAAAAAAACTCCAAAAACTTATAAATTTTTATGGACAAATATTTTTTGAAAAGAAATTCCGAAAAAAGGAAAACAAATCTATGGACAAATAGGTCCTAAAGTTTGGTCCTAGTTACTCCCCCATCCCAATTCATGCAAGGATATTTGAAAAATTTAGAAACCTGTAAACTAGAACAAGTCATAATAAGTGGAAAGTTTAAGTTAAATTAAGATTAAAATGTGTCATTATTTTTTTTGGAAGAGATAAAAAGAGGGGAAATGCAAAATTTAGCTTCAAATTGAGTACCTGAGGTAAGGGAGATGAGCAATTGTTTCAGGAATAGGGCCGCCGAGGAGATTCTGAGAAAGGTCAAGGTAAGTGAGGCTACGACATTCAGAAATAGAAAGAGGAAGACTAGAGTTGATAAGATTATTGGAAAGAGAGAGGGATGAAAGTGAAGTGAGGTGGCAGAGGAATATAGGGAAGGGTCCGGCTAGAGAAGCGCCGGAGAGATTAACGGCGATAACGGAGGGAGACGGCGCGTCGTTACAGGTGACACCTGTCCAGTTACAGGGGGTAAGTTCATGTTCAGACCAAGAAGAAAATGCACCTTCTGTGTCGGAAAGAGAAAGTTTCAGTCTTTGCAGATATAGCCCATCTTGATTTAAAGCAAATATGAAAGGCAGACTACTCAAAAAGAAGATGAATAGTTGCATGGCTTTTCATGCAAAGAGAAAAGATGTTTAATTGTTTATGTTATACTAGTATCATATAAAAATGGTGAAATGAGTGTTGCTAAGTAATGTAAATTTTGGAGGGAATTTGTGAGAAAAGAGATGAGAGAAGAATGTGGCTTTTGTTGTTTTCTACTTTAGTTTAGGGGTGGGTGGATGAGGCAGTGGCCTATAGGACTGAGGGAAGAAAAATGAGTTTTTGGGAAACTGTAGGATTGGGAAAGGACAAGGGTTGGTTTAATGTGAAAACTTAGTCTAAAGTTGTTTGGGACCTACTGTTTATTCTGATGTTGATATTGTCCATATACTAATTAATTGCTCCTACTATTCTTGTTATTATTGATAAAAACAGTGTACTCCCTTTGAGTTAAAAAGAAATTCTCTCATAAAGTTGCTGTTAGTAGTTTGGTTCTTATGGTCAAAATAAAAGAGTAAATTAAATTACTACAGTAAAGAGATCTAGCATGATATTCATTTCACCTTTTCTTTATAAAAATATTTAGAAAAAGGGTCTAAGAAATCAGCAGCTTAGAATATTACCTTACTAGACTAGGGTAAAAAAAGGTATTAATAGAGAGAAGCTTATTTTTGGCATCTTTCCTCGATGCGTGGCGGAATTATCTTAGTCTAAGGGGTGTCATAGCAAAATTACGCATTTAATTTTATGTATATATATTTTATGTTGAGCTAAAACAGTTCAAAGATACTCTTAATATGGTGTGATATTGTTCGCTTTGGCCAAGCCCGCACGGTTTTTCCCAAACGGCCTCACACCATTAAAAGATCCCAACACCTTATATGTAAACTCACATTCTTTTCAGCTACCAATGTGGGACTTGGTTTGCACATCCAAGAGTTTCCTTTAACTTATTCTCATGTTTACTTGTTTATATTTTGACACCTTTTAGTGAATTGCCGCTGCTTATACACCTTCTTGCGGTTTCAAAGTTGTTGACCAGTTAAAAATGTTGACTTAACATTAGTGTTGGCCCAAGTAAAGGTTGATTTTGAAGACTGACAAAGGAACTCAAGCATGAACCAGGTCCATCCCTCAGGTGCACAAAAACGGGCAGATTCGAGCATGTGGGATGCACGTGAAGGAGATAAGCTTAACTTGGTGTATTTAATATCTCCTGATCGAAAAGGTTGCATAATTGATAAGGAAAAGGACTCCTTACTCAAAGAGAACACTATCTAAGATAGGGAAGGAGTTAGAAGTTGAAATCAACTAGAACTCTTCCACCAAGGAAGAGTTGCATCAGAACTTTAGTTATTTCTTCATCTACTAACTCTATAAATTGCAGGCTGTTCTCTTTTACAGCTAATGCACATAAGCAGAAGTTAAACGTGAATTGAGAACAAAATAGCAAGGCAATTCTGCAAGCAATTTATGTGTGATTCAAGCGTGCAAACCTGAAGCTACATGAACCAGATTGAAGAACCAGCTCCATAAAGAGTTTTATGCGTCTTTCTTTATTTCTAGTTCAATTGTAGTAGGTGTTTCATATTGTACCTTTCAGCTTTATCTAAAAGCAATTGTAATAGGTACTTTGAGTATTCAAGTTAGAGTTAACTTGAAGTTGTCGCAACAGTTAGATGATGGTTGCTACAACGGGATTAGAGGTAATCCTTAGGTTTACAAAGACTTTTGTAAATGCTGTTTTGGCTCAGTGATTTAGTGAAGTGTTGGGGAAAATCCTACTGAGTAGTAGGTCGTGATTTTTCACCTTTTGAGTCGGGTGTTTTCCACGTAAAAATACTTGTGTTATTTACATTCTACATTTATTATTCCGCAACAGTAGCAGAAGGAACACATAGAAGAACCAGGTCCTTCCATAATCAGATTAAGCGAAAAATTGGTCACCGCACAAATGACCCCCCCTCCCCTCTTGTGTCGTATTAAAGTATAAAACATCAATTGGTAACAAAGCAGGTTATCCTTGAAGAGGCTAACACCTTAGGAACAGATCAAGATGAGCACACCGCCTGGAAACTGGGAAGGGCAATCCACTGATAGGCCTCCACTTTTTAATGGCCAGTACTACTCTTGGTGGAAAAACAGGATGAGAGATCACATCATCGGAGAAGACTATGAGCTATGGGACATTGTCACTAATGGTCCCCTGACTACCATGAAGAAGAATGCTGAAGAAGTAGACGTGCCAAAAACAAGAGCTGATTGCAATGCTGTGGACTTGAGGAAATGGGAAAAGAATGCAAAGGCCAAGAAATGGCTTGTGTGTGGACTTGGTCCAGACGAGTACAGCAGAATTCAAAGCTGTACTACTGCTAAGGAAATTTAGGACTCTTTACAAGTGGCTCATGAAGGAACTCAAGTAAAGAGATCAAGAGGAACACTGTTGTATTCTCAATATGAGAATTTCACCATGAATGAAGGAGAAACCATCCAGAAGATGTATACAAGGTTGACAATACTAACAAATGAACTTAAGTCTCTTGGAAGGGTTATTCTTGAAGAAGGCAAAGTTGAGAAGATTTTAACAAGGGTTCTGCCAGTCTCTTGGGAAAGCAAAATCACTGCTATTCAGGAATCAAAGAACATTGCCACTCTTAAGTTGGATGAACTAATTGAAAATCTCACTGCCTATGAACTTAGAAGGCAAACCAGGAAGATGGATGCACCCAAGAAGGAAAGGAGCCTGGCATTCAGAATCACTGAAGGTGCTGATCTAGAGGATGAAATGACAATGATCACAAAGGACTTCAAGAAGTACCTAATGAAAGGAAAGGGTCCTTCAAGAAGTGGAAGCTACAGCAAACCAAGGGTTCCTGAAAAATAAACCAATGAGGGGTGTTACAAGTGTGGGAAGACTGATCACCACATCAAAAACTACCCTCAATGGGAAATTGAATGGAAGAAGGAAAGAGTTGAACGAAGGAACAGGAATAAGGAACAGGTTCAACCAAAGAAGAACAAAGGATCAACAAAGGCTATGGTTGCTTCCTAGGGAGAAAGCTCAGATGAGGACTTAGAGGGTGAAGATGGAGATAAACAAACACTTATGGCAATTGGAGAATCTGATGAGGAATCTGAGGTAAGTATAATTCATCTCAAAGACAAGATTAAATTTTTGTCTAAAGAAAGGCTATCTGAGTTACTCCTGGATTTCATTGATGAATCTGAGGATCTAAATAATGAAAAGGAACAGCTGTCTAAGGAGTGTGTGATTTTGAAAGCTAAGTGCAAAAATCTGGAACTTAGGGCTAGTGAAAGTGATAGTAAAAATATTGAGTTAAAGAACCAAGTTCATGAACTTGACACCACTGTCCTAGAGCTAAGATCTGAAAATCTAAAACTGAAATTAGGAACAGGTAAAAAGAAAGTTGATCACACACAACTCACTTTAGAAGAAAATATAGGAAAAATGAAAGACGAGTTGTACAAAAGAGATGAGCATATAAGAGTCCTTAAGGAGGATCTAAGCAAGATTAAGCATGAGCTAGACAGAACCTGTAAATGGAATAGGTCCTCCGATGCACTTTCATGGCTACATGAACACCATAGTAGCAATAAGAGAGGACTTGGCTACGGGACCCCTGCACCTAAGTGGGATCCCAAAAGCAAGTACCTCACACTTCCTGAGAACATAATTTGTCACACAACTGTGGTTAAA